TTTTTTATTATATTAAAACAGTGATGTGACTTTTTGGCAGCTCATTTTCTCTCTTTCCAGCTTTTCGGACGGACGTGTTTAATTTTCAGTTAAAAAAAATGTATTATTATTATTATTAAATATATTTTTAGTTTTTCTTTACTTTTAATTAAAATTAAAATTATTTTTTTTTAAATTTTAATTCATTTTAATCATTCAATTTTAAAATATATGGATCTAATCCTTTTTACAGTTATATTAAGAAGATAGAAGTTAATGAAAATATACCGTAAATTCAAGAAAATTATAAAATCAATATTATAAAATAATACAACTTTTATAAAGTCTCCTATGAGATGGTAACGGTAGGATTGGGAAGCCTATTTGCAACTTGATTAGTAGACAAAAGTGTATCCAACTTGTTATCTGTACTCGTTTAAAAAATATTTATAATAATTTTAAAATTTATAAATCTTTGTAAAAAATTAAAAAATATTATATTATATATTTTTTAAATGAAATTTAAATAAAATCATAAAAGATATGTATAATATAAATTAAAATTTAATTTTAATTAAATTTAATCTAATAAAATATAATTTTATTTTATTTTTAATTAAATTTATTTAAAAGATATATAAATTATTATTTTTTAAATAATAAATATCTATCAGTCAAACAATATATTATTTGTATTTTACTCCTTTAAAAACAGATATTAAAATATATGTTATCCTAATAATATATGCATTTCATGAATAAAAAAACTGGTAATTAAATTTGAATACTATCGTCAAGATTAGAGATGAAATATTGCATATTGTAACTGTTGTATTTACATTTACGTTTGAGAGATAAATGAATATGGACTTAATACTACGTGGAAATAAATTATGGTATAAAATGTGTTTTTTTTATGATTTTGGTAGGTTAAATGGATGAATTAATTTTAATTTTTTTTATGAAAAATTACTTTTAAGAGAGGTTGGTTTAGGTTATGAGTAATGTTTTTATTCCTTCGCATTATTGAATTATAATAGAATTATATTATTAACTTGCATTATGATTTAGTTTTCAGTAATAGAAATAATAAATGAAAACTTAAAAGTTTTGTTTTGAACAAGCTCGATAGATCGGCTCCAACACTATTTATCTTTTTTAGAATAATTATTAAATTTATGTATAGTCAAGGAAATAAAGTACTTGAAATATTTATCGGTTATACCTAGTTTTATACTTAACCTAGTTTTATACTTTAGTGTTTAAATGTAGATTTAAAGTTTTCTATGCTTTCTTGTATCATACATTTTATTATAAATAGAACATTTATGTTTCTCTTCTTTATGTTATGTCGACATTATCCACCATTGTTTGTCTAACATTTTTTACTACTGTCATTGTTGTCTATAGTTATTTGTTGTTATTCGACATTATTCAAAATTATTAGTCGTAGTTCGTCGTTAACTACCATCGTTGTCGTTAACGATCATCATAGTTTCTTCTGACAATCGTTGAATCTCAATCGCCTCTTTAAGTGATGATCAACCCCAGTAGTCTTGGTAGCTTGTTTGTCGTCACATGCTGCCACACACCGCTTTTCTATCCATTGTAGTCAAACGAATGTCACCTACAAATTGTCCTCCCGTTGTTGGAACTTTATTGTCGAAGCTTACTCTCTTTGTTTGGACCATTAGAACTTCATTTCGGCAAGGTCCAAGAGTCATCCTTACGAAAGCCTCCTAGGGTTTTCTTTGCCCAAGCTAATAAAATAAATGTCCACCAAAATTGTTGTCTCATTCATTAAAAGTTTTTTTATTACTTTCGAGAAATTAAATGGAAAAAATTATCTTTCTTAGTATGCATGTGTGGAAATATTGTTCCTTGGTCAAAGTCATCATGATCACCTTGCTTTCATAAAAGGTACTCAATCCACTAAAACCTCATATCCTATTTATAATTTTTTTAGTTATCATCGCTTGCCACCTTTTTATTGTTCTTTTTTATCCTTAGTGTCTTTCATTACCATTCCCAAAAATGTGAAGGAAACATTTGATGATCCTAGATGGCGATAAGCCATGATACTAAAGAGTTAGTTTTCCTTCCACTTGGGAAAAAGGTAGTTGGGTGTCAATAGGTTTATATTATTAAAGTTTGTCCTAATGGTGAAATTGATCGTCTCAAGGTATGATTAGTTGCAAAAAGGTACAATCAAGTTTATAGCCTCGACTATAGTGATATTTTCTCTATAATGTCTAAGATGACTATTATTCACTTTTTTTTCTAAGGCAGTAATTTGTCATTGGTCTCTCCATTAATCAAATATAAAAAATGTTTTTCTATATGGTGATCTTGCATAAGAAGTATACATGGAGCAACCTCCTAGTTTAGTTGCTTAGAAGAGTTTAGTAAGGTTTGTAAGTCTGTAAGTTATGCCGCTTTCTCTATGGCCTTAAGCAATCACCACATCCTTGGTATTGTAAATTCAACTCAATTGTTCAAACATGTGGGTTAAAACACAGTGAAACAAATCATTCAACTTTTTATTATAATACCCATTCCAGCCAAAATTCACTGTACTCTATGCCAAAATTTGGCCCGAGTGACACATTTTGACCTAAGCGTCAAATTACACCCGAAGGAGAATGATGTTCCAACTTAACCCAACTTCTATCAAATTCTCTCCCAAGTGACAAATATTGTTGCTTAAGCAAGTAAATTTTTGCTTAGGCCACATCCCATTTTTTGGTTTGGAATAATCTCGAGAAAATTAATATTCCCCCTTCATTAGCCGTAAAATCGAGTTGAAATTTTTAAAATTGGTCCACCCCATTTTCTGCTTTGAGTAATCTTGGGAAAATTATTCCTACTATGTTAACTGTTAGTTTGAGCTGGAATTTTGAAAGTCGGTCTATACATATTGTTCTTTGTTTGTGTGTTTGTGTGTGTGTCTGCGTGTTTGTGTGTGTATGTGTATGTTTATGTATGTGTGTGTATGCATGTATATGTGTGTGCGTGTGTGTCTGCATTTGTGTATGTGTGTGTGTATTTGTGGGAGTGGGTGTGGTTGTGTCATTGTGTGTATGTGTGATTGTGTGTTTATGTTTGTGATTGCGTGTGTGTGTATTTCTTTATATGTCTTTGTGTGTATCTATGTGTTTATCTTCATCTCTCTGTGTTTGTGTAATTGTAGGTGAGTGTTTGTGTCTACGTGTTTATATGTATGTCTATGTCTTTGTGTTTGTGTGTATGTGTGTGTCTTTTTGTTTGTGTGTATGTGTGTGTCTTTGTGTTTGTGTGTATGTGTGTGTCTTTGTGTGTCTTTGTGTGTGTGTCTACTTGTGTGTGTCTTTGTGTGTGTCTACTTGTGTGTGTTTGTGTGTGTCTGTCTATGTGTTTATTTTTGTGTCTCAATGTGTGTGTTTGTATAATTGTATGTTTCTGTGTTTTTGTGTATGTTTCTCTGTTTGTGTGTGTGTCTTTATGGATGTGTATTTATGTGTGTCTGTCTACGTGTCTGTGTGTGTCTATGTGTGGTTGCTTGTTGTTGTGTGTTTGCGTGTGTGTGTGTATGTGTTTGTGTGTGTATTTGTGATTGCGTGTTTCTACGTGTATATGCGTGTTTGTTTGATTGTTTGTGTCTATGTGTATGGGTGAGTGTGTTTATTTGTGTTTGTGTGTGTGATTCTGTTAGCCTGTGTTTATCTTTGTGTATGTGTGTCTGCTTTTATGTTTTTGTTTGTGTGTATCTTTGTTTGTGTGTATATGTGTTTATGTTAGTGTATGTGTCTGTCTCTCTAATTCTCTGTGTGTTTGTGTTTGTATGTGTGTGTTTATGTTTGTGTGTATTTTTGTGTGATCTTTATTTTTGTGTGTGCACTTTACTTATGTGTGTGTGCTTTATCTGTGTGTGTGTTTTATCTGTGTGTTTGTGTGTGTACTTTATCCGAAAGATGTGATGTAAAATGTCAATAATGCATGTTGCTTATATAGTAAATGATGAATGGTTTTTGAAACAATGTTGTTGTATGTTTTGGTGTGAAGGGTTGATTTGTATGGTAATATTGGATGTATTCATGATTAGAAAGTTATTTTGGCACTTGATGGAATTCCATGGAAAAGTTCCATTGGTTGCGTATGCATCTATATATGGGAGTCCAAGTTTAAAGGTTATCCGGATAATGGTTAAAGGGTTAAGATTAATATGAGATGCTATATCCGGATAATGGTTAAAGGGTTAAGATTAATATGAGATGCTGGTCTAAAAAACAATGTGTTCTTATGATAGTATAAAATTAACCTTATGGATAGAAGATATTCGAATAAGTCTTTTATAATATTTTTTTTTGTAAATCGTGTGTATTTGATAAATGACTTATGACTTGAATTATATGTTATATATATATATATATATATATATATATATATATATATATATATATATATATATATATATATATATATATAATATCTTTTTGTAAACTAATTTACCTTCGCGTAGTGTGATTTGTGTTAAGATGATTATTATTTTTTGGTGAATTAAAGATATTTCACGAAGAGAGATGACGGAGCAGTTTCTCGATGTAAAAGAAAATTATTGAATTGATCTATGTTTTATTTTAGTGGATGGTCTATTTGCTTATATTATTATATATTTGTAATATTTTGTTTTAGTAAATATAGTTTAAATGTGATGTTATATTAACGATCTTATCTAAATTGAGATATTATTTTGACGATCTTATCTGAATTGACTTTGAAACGAAATCTGCACTTTATATTTATTTTCTGGAACATTTTTCTAAAACTCCAAAAGAATGCTATTTTGTGAAATGTTTCTGGGCCAACCACTTGATAACTACCAATAAGTATATAGGATAAATATCTAACTTGAGGCTTAGAACATGGTGTGTAAATGCTGTAGAAAACTCAAAGTGAGATGAAACAGTGATGATTTCTTCCAAAGTGACATCCAAGTTCTGAATCTCTAATCTTCAGAAGACTGATACACTCCAACTCTACACTTCACATACATATACATATATAAAGGTTTATGCTTTTCTCTTCTACTTTTTCTATGTATACACACACCAGCACCAGCCATACATGGACATGTCATGAACCATCAATGGAAGGCTTAATTACTGTATAAAATAGTACATTATAGAATATAGTGAAGAGAATCAGAACACCAGCTACACTTCCAAGAAATGAGTCTGAAATTTCTAGCTTGTCTTTGTCAATGCGCTGCTCTGTGGGAAGCTTCATTTCTGAAACTGCAGAAGGTTGAATGAAAAATATGCAGGTTGAGAATCAGAAGCCTAACTTAAATTTAAAATTTTTTTCTCATGGGGTCACCGGAAATAATATAATATATATAATCAATCACTGAAAATTCCAAAGCAGAAAAAGAATCATGGATTGAGGATAAAGAAGAAAATAAGTGAGAGAGAGTACTCTTGTTGAGTTTTGAAGCATTGGAGGGTTGTTTTTTACTAGAGAGAGATTGCATTTGTTCGTCAAGCTTTTTGAGTGCTTCTCTGGCTTTTTCTGGCTCTACCTCATATTGCTGTGACTGTGAATCTTCCTTCAGTGATGCACGAACAATCCCAAAACAAGAAGAGGAAGAAAAAGAAGGGTTTGTGATGAACCTCTTGTCCTTGAAAATGTCTCCATTTTTGTGCACAACAAACAGTGACGATGGTGGCGGCTGGTAGAAGCAAAGAAGTTGCATGGATGAAAGCATTTGAAATTGAAAATGGGAAATGGAAATTGAAACTGCTTCTTCACTCACCCCAAATATCTAACACACAACACAACCATTGAAATTGAAGATAATGTTGTGTCTTTTACCTTCGGTGTTCGTGACACCGATGTTTTTTAATATATGTCAGTTTTGTTTGTCACAGAGTGTTTTTTTTTTATAAGGTGAAATGTAATCGGCTAAAATTTTACTAATTCGATGGCATATTAAATTATTTAAATATTTAAATATTAAATAATATTTTTTTAGAGAAAAGTATAATATAGATATTTTAAAATTATAAAATTTACTAGAAAAATATATAAGTCCAACTCAATTCATCTAAAGATATTTTTGTTGGAATGGATAATGAATTTATTCCGATTTAGTCCAATCCAATCTTCCATGTGTATACCCTAAAAATATATAGATATCTCAAGGGTATTTTGGTCTTCAATCATCACATCAAGATAATTTTGATATATTGTTGATATAAATTTATATTATTAATTAATTAATTAATTAAAAAATATTTGCATGTAACTTTAAAATAATAATTATAATGAAAATATCATAGTTAATATTTATAATTAAATAAAAGATACATAGTATTGCTGAGTCAGAACCCATTAAAAATTCATTAGTGTATAAGATATAATAAATTATAATTATTGAAATAACCGTAGTTTATAAGTGATAATAAACTTTTTAAAGAATTGTAGTCTAATAAGTAATAATAAATCACGGTTATTGGTAGAACTGTGGTCTATAATTATACTATGGTTCCAACTGTAATTTAAAATATTTGTTTTAGACCACGATTTGATAAATTATGATTTTATAATTGTCAAGTAAATCCTAAAATAATTATAGTCTATAATCTTTGTTCTAATAATGAAGAATTTCAAGTAATGAGTATTTAGGACTTTGAATTAAAAAAAAGATATCCAAGATTAATATATTTCCTAAAAAAATCATAAGAGTTACAAGCTAAAAAATAACTCACATCTTGACTTGTTACAATTTTCGACTGCAATCAGTTTAATGGATTGAGTCTTAAGAAACAAAATTTAATTAATTGAATTAATTTTAATATTTTTATATGTGAAATTTTCCGAAGGTTAACATCCAATAGACTGTGTAGTTAATTTTTTGTAGCCAATAATTTAACAACTCTTTGTTCTTGTCGGTGCAATAATGGATCAAATATTTTCATGCTATTTGTAAAATCTTAATTATAGAAAAAAATGTATTAAAAATTATACAATGCACTCCCTTTAGCTATACATCCTTTAGAAATAAAAGTCTAATATAATAACATAAATATGTGAAAATCTTAAACTATATATGCTACTCTTTATAGTATTTATTACTTTATTAATTTGAATGTTAAAGTCTTTTAGGAGAGATATATCATATATCTTATTTTGAACACAGAAGGTCACCGACCTTGTAAAAGCAATATTATTTTAAACATGTTCTATTATTCTTTAAGATTAATGTTTATTATTCTTAAGTCAAGAAATATCATAATTAAAAAGTGTAATCATTCAGGAGGTCCCTATTTTAGAGAAGAATCTCAATTTTGTTCTGTTCTTTTTCGGTTTTTCAATTAGGTCTTAATTTTGTGAAAATTGTAACAACTGGGCCCTTGTCGTTAAATTGGGTCCAACAGCGTTAATTTGTGGTTGACGTGGTACGCTGGACTCAATTTCTTAATCGACGTGACTGACTCAAGTAAGGAAACCTTAATTGACGTGAATAATTGTATATTTTTAAATACAAAGAAAAGGAAAGTACGAATGAAATATTGGGATTTGGATTGAGATTGAATTTTATCGAATTAGGGATTGGGATTGGGAGAAGTTTGTTTTGACATTGTGGGGTTCTTGTAGGGTTCGTGCAAAGTTCAATCAATTTCACAAATTGGGGTATGAATTTGGGGATTTAGGGTTTAATCGAAGTTGACGTTGATAGAGAGCGTGAAGTTGTCGTCGTCGTCGTCGAAGTTGTGGGACCTTCTTTCGCTGAAATCTCGAGTGGTCAGGTCAGTAAAAGTTTGGTTTTTGTATTGATTATTGATGTTGATGGTGAACAGCAAGAGATGGGTGATGTTGAAGAGAGGGTTGATGTTGATGGTGAACAGCAAGAGATGAGTGATGTTGATGGTGAACAAGAGATGGGTGAACAACAAGTGGAAGTTGAGGTTGTTATAGAGGAAGAGGCCCATGGACTTGAACAAGTTGGTGGTGTGTTGGAAGAGATGGGTGATATTGACGGACAAGTGGAAGTTGAGGTTGTTATGGAGGAAGAGGTCCATGGACTTGAAGAAGTTGGTGGTGTGTTAGAACATATGGGTGATGTTGATGGAGAAGTGCAAGTTGAGGCTGTTATGGAGGAAGAGGTGCATGGAGTTGAAGTAGTTGGTGGTGATGGTGAAGACGAAGGTGAAGAAGTGAATGAAGTTGAACAAGATGTGGAAATCCGAAGTTGGAATTCCTCTTTTGACAGTGGTAGTGGTGATGGAAATAGTGAGTGGTTGGAGGGGCTTGTTGATGTCAATGTTGGTTGCGATATAGATGATGATATACATGCAGATTTGGAGGGAAATGTGGAAGTGGAAGTCCAAAGTGTTTCAAATGACTTTGTGGACCATATTCTAGTGGGAGTTCTGACAACATGTTTGATGTTAATGTAGAGGGTGGGAATGAGCAGATGTTGCCTATTGCGTATTGTGTTGTTGAAGTTGTGAACAAGGATTCGTGGAGGTGGTTCTTGGAACTATTGGTAGATGACCTTGGAGGGGATGAAATATGTTCTTCATTTACCTTTATATCAGATCAACAAAAGGTAATAGTCATAATTAATTTGTACTTGTACATTTTAACTTTAGGCACTAGTACAAAAATCGCGTACAACGTTGAATATTTTGGGCTTTTAACGGCAAATTCGCGAACGACGTCATATCAGGAGACGTTAAATTGACGTCAAATTTTAAAAAATTCGACGTTAAATTAACGTCGAATTTTGTCAATATACGACGTTAACTTAACGTCGAATTTTATCAATATTTGATGTTAATCATTTTTTTTAATTAATTGTGATCCTTTTTAACAACTCTACGATATCTGAAAAGCAGAAAAACAACAAATTTCAAGTTTTTGGTATTTTATAAAGCATGAACTTTGATCAACAACAAACAACAATAACCAACAACAAACAAGTTCAATCAAACAACAACAAACAAGTTCAACCAAACAACAACGACAAACAAGTTCAATCAAACAACAACGACAAACAAGTTTAACCAAACAACGATCATAAATAAGTTAAAAAAAAAACAACAAACAAGTTCAACAAATAAGTTCTTCAAAACGAAAACGAAAACTAACCTTCAAAAGGTGGGTTCATCGGAATAAAGTGTCGTCACCCGTGAGAGAGAAAGCATAATGCATCTATGAAGGACAAGAACACGAAAGTAATCGGTTAAAACAAACGAAAATCATACATAATGTAGTTAATTAACATGCATTTGTATCAAATGAAAGAAAGATTACCTGGTCATCAAACTTCGTTCGAGAAAAGTTTGAGAAGAGAAGAGGTTCCCCCGCGCTAAGATAAAGTGAATGAACTTTCAATATCTCGCTCAAATTTTTATTGAATTCACTAACATTTTAACGTCTAACGCTACGACATTCGACGTTTTATATCCTTTTACGTCGAATTACAATTATAAACGACGTTTAATAATTGCATTTATTTACAAAAATGCCACCGATCATTTTTAACGTTGGCTATTTAGTGGTTCGACGTTAAACGCGTGACGTTATACGTTGTTTTTGCACTAGTGAGGGCCTGAAGTATTGGTTGCCTTTATTGATTACTTGTATATTTGTATTGCAGGGTCTACTTCCAGCAATACAGGAATTGCTTCCTAGAGTTGAGCAAAGGTTTTGTCTGAGGCATTTGTATGCCAACTTCAGGAAGAAATTCCCTGGCAAAAACCTCAAGCATTTAATGTGGAGGGCAGCTACAACCACACACCCACAAACTTGAGAGATGGAAATGAGAAACATAAGAGCACTGAACGAAGATGCTTACAAGCATTTGATTGTCATTCCTCCAAGGTTAGTCTTCAAAACTACAACATAATTCGTTATTCATATAATGTTAATAATTATTTTATTATTTGTTATAGGTATTGGTTAAGATCAAGGTTCACTTCAAGAGCTAAGTGTGACACCTAGTTAACAATATGAGTGAGGGCTTCAACAATGTCCTCGTAACTACCAGGAGTAAACCCATAATTACCTTGTTGGAGGAGATACGACTTTACATCATGCAAAGATAGGCCAAGAACAGGTCAAGCATATTATCATTTACTGGATCCATTTGTCCCAAGATTCACTCCAGATTTAGAAAGGAATCTCAGTTAACTAAAAATTGGATTCCTAGGTAAATTCCATTAATGACTTGTTTGTTATGTTAATTTACTACTGTGGTTCATAAATATTGTTGTCTTCTTCTACACGGTTGGTCAGGCAACAAGCTATTTGAAGTTCGTAACATGTCTAATAGTGGAGATAAGTTCGTAGACAACATAGATAACTCCTCATGCACATGCAAAACTTGGATGATAACTGGAATTCCCTGTTGTCATTCATTGATTGCAATGAAGTTCCTCAACATTGATGGAGAACAATTTATTGACTCTTGCTACATGAAGTCCATATATGAGGAGACATATTCATCAATTATATATCCCATAAAGGGAGCCAATATGTGGATCATTACTCCAAATCCTGATGTGTCTCCTCCACACAAAAAGTATTGCTTGGAAGACCAAAGAGAAAACGAAGACTAGAGCAATGGGAAATGAGGAAGGATGATTCAAGAATGACCAAATCTGGGTTGCGGAAAAGATGTGGCATATGTAGGGAACATGGCAATAACAGAAGTCGTTGCCCATCAACAACCCAAGCAGGACCTGTGCATTGCGACGAACAAACTCCATCCACTCAACAATCTAAAATAGCACATCAGACTCAACCTCAAGCCTAGTACACTGTAGGAATGCACTTTTGTAATAGTTTAAGGCTACAAAACATTATGTAG